TTTGTAACTAGAATTTTATATATTTACCTCCAAATGTACCACCATAAATCGACTCGCCACCTGTTCCATTGCCTATCGAGAAATCTCCTCCTTGAATCATAAAATCCTTTACGACCCGATGAAAAACGATGCCTTTGTAATGCAACAGTTTGTTTGTCGTATTCCCAAGTCCTTTTTCTCCGGTACATAACGCTCGAAAATTCTCGCATGTTATGGGACAAGTGTCTGAAAAGAGCTCAAAGACTATTCTGCCCATAGGCAGTCCGCCAACCTCAACGTCAAAGAATACTCTTGTGTTAACGTTAACCATGGTGTAAGGGTCTCTGAATTATCTGTAAGTGTCAAGAGAAATGAGCAATAAGCATGAAATTACATTACAAAATTGTGTAAATATTAGAGATTATGGTTTTAAATATTTTAAATGTGTATGCATGTGATACATGTATACACATGTATTTAGATTCATGTGAAAAAAAGATCTCTAATAAATATGTATATAAGATATAATAAATTATATAATACAAGATCCTGTGGCATGTCATGATTACATCTTGGTGCATGTATTTATTTTGCATTCTCAGACTCTCGCTTTTTTATTGCACTTTCATTTCAAAGAAATATTAATATCAAGCTCGGCAATCGCAAAGCAATACAAATAAAAGAAAGGTCAAACATGAGCAAATAATTATTTGATGTTTGACCTTTCTTTTATTTTTGTTACTTTAATTTCGTGTCACTCCTATTTTACATTCTGAACATCTTTTTTCATACATATGGCAACAGCTTCACACATCTTACTTTTCGGTGCAAATATCTGCCTTTTATGCCTATTGCACTCATTTTCTCTTATTAACACTTTGACTGATTTTTTGGCATTGAGTTTAATAAATCTAGTGTACTATTTTACTTTATTGTTTTTCAAATATCTTAATATAATTTTTAATTCTTCTTTAATACCTTAATTCCCATTCCACCAATGTAAGATTAACTTTAATTTCAGTTTAATTTATTATATCTTTCTCAAATTCTTAGAATTAGAAGAAGGTAAAGAGTAAATTAAACCAAAATTAAAGTTGTCTTATATTAGTAGAACTATACTTTAAATGCTTGTTAAAATCAATCTGATATTCATTTCTACCAATATAAATTAACTTTATAATCTCGATTTAATTTACTTGTTAATTTTTAGAATTATAGAAAAAAGTAAAAAACAAATTAAGTCAAGATTAAAATTAATTTGCATTAATAGAAATAGTCATTAATCAGATAAATAAAAATTATTCACAAGTGAGGGATTTTTGTGAATTTTATATATAACCCAAGTATGCACATATAAATGATATTGTAATGTTAAACAAGAGTAGATTACATATGCAATAAATTTAGCATTATATAATGGTATATATATATGATATAGTGCATTTGATAACAAATTTGATTGGATGCACTCAGTGCATATTAAAGGCGTCATACATAAACTGGTGTAATAATATGTATTTAATATAAATATAAAATCATGAGATTCTTAATTTCATATTTTATTGTGCAGTAAAGTAAAATTTGTATAATTCGTAATGTTTGTATTTTACTTTTATGTTTAGATTAAATCAATGTACAAAGACTACGTTTACATCGTGTGCTTAGCTTGTGACCTATATCCCAAATTCGACCTAAATTATCTAGGCTCGATGCTGTAAATACTTAGTAGATAACCTGACTTAGCTTTAGATTTCAGATCTCGTTTTTTTAACGGCCTGACTTAAAATGGTCATCTATTTTCTCGGTGTAAATGCATGAGATTTATATAAAACACAAGATGGCTCTAGGTAATTTGAATCAGCATGGACTAAATATGATCCTGTCAATTTTTAAATCTGTTTTGGTTGGTAACTAGACCTAGTTTGGGTCATGATATAGGTTGGATCGCTATAAATATAGCCAATGACTTTAATATGCACTAATGCAGACTAGTGCATCCAACAGAATTTATTATGATTGAATTTATACTAAATTGGATTAATATGCATTAAAAAGACCGTTTTATATAAATTATCTAAATGTAACAGCATAATATTCAACTTTGACGATGAAATAATAGATGTTCTATTAAATAATGTGACAATATCATTATTGGATACTTAATTGTATAAAATATTTGTTTTTATATTTGCTAATTTCACACAGATAAAAAAAATTAGCTATTCTTAAATTAGCCATAGAATGCTTATATATAAGCAAAAATATTGTAATTTTCGAAATATTTGTTTTGATTGAATTTATATTCATATAAGATTTTTAATTGAGCAAGTCCTGAATTGAAAGTACAAAATAATACTTACATCAATAATCAAAATTAATTAAAAAGATTAAAATGTCTTAAGGAAGGTTATAATAGATCAAGCAAAAATTTCAGCTAAAAAGAACAAGCCTAATTATTTCTGCTTATATATGAGCATATTAAGATCGATTTAAGAACAGTTTTTCTGTGCATATTTAGCTGTTTTTAGTATGCACTAATCTAATATAATATAAATTATATCAGCAAATTTGATTTATATTTTAATATAATACAAATTATATTAGGATATAAATCAATTCGCTAATAATTCATTATAATTGATTTACAGATGATCCTATCTGGAATGACTCCGCGATTTCATTTCATACGTCGAGAAATATGTCGAGAATGGCGTGCTATTCTTCTTCGTACGAATCATTTCAAATAAAAACGTGACAAAGGGAAGAAGAGACGATAATAATTATTGATTACACGCACGTCCGTGGTAATCTTGAAAAAGTTGGATAGAAAGGTTAAAGGCTAGTGAGAATCGCATAGTAGGCTTACCTCCAGAGTACTTAAGATTAACTGAACTGCCCTCGACGCACGATTCAATCAAATCTGTGGAATGTACTTGGCGTCATCAATTATCCCATGTGCATTCACGTTCAATTCTCTTTAAGAGAACTAAGAGAAAGTCCGGATTATTCCAGATTCGCCGCTCAAAGAGACACGTTGAGAAGATCGATCAAAAAATGGCTAATGTATTAACTATTTAACTGTTAATAGATTAAAGGTATATTTTTAAAGGTTCTTGGATCTCTCCAGCGATGCCAACTGATGCCAACACACACGCCATGGAAGGGATAACATGGTGGCTGCGGTCGATTTGAACGCTCACACGCTTGTAATCATCATTCTGTCTTTATCGTTTATTAGACGTAAAATAAGAATATGACTACTGAAAAACGCTGAAAGTGTCTAAATTAACCGCAGTTGATGTATGCATTCATAATTCCTTTTTAGTTAATGGTTCCTGCCTCCATAAAGTATGTGGAAACAATACGGCCAAAGGATCGATTATAGGGATATTTAATTCAAGATTTTTCAGAAAATCAATTCTTTTATCTTCGATTCTCGATTTTTTAGATCGATTTCCGCTAAATCGATTTTTTGGTGAATCGATACTTACAGTTGCGATTTGGGTCGATTAAAAAAATCGATTCTTTTGCCGAGATCGAGCATCCCTAGTCGATTGTGTATTTCGAAACCTTGGTGTAAATGATGAAAGTTCTCACTTGATAGGATAGTTTTCATAGTGGAAATGTGACATTTCTCATGTGACATTACTCAACAAGAAATTCTATGTCGAGTTGTATCAAATGGTGTCAAAGCGTGTCGAGATTGGTCGAAATTAGTTGAAACTTGTCAAAATCTGGGTATCGATTCTCTAACTTTTATCATGGTAAAAATGTAAACCATCTCATATCGTATGATTCCCTAAGGGTATATCCACACAACTTGCATAGCTGCATAAACGTATACATAAAGAAAATTATCCAATTGCATTTCTCTTATAAAGACGTAAAATGTGATTGGATAATTTTCTTTATGCATACGTTTATGTGGTTGTGCGGATATCCCCTAACTTTCATCATGATGCTATTGCGAGCAATCTTAGGGGAGTTCATTTGGCAAGAAATTTCTTATCGAATGGTAAGATCCGAGAAAGAAAGGCTGAGAAATAAAGCGAGAGAGGAACCACGACTGAATTGACGGTTTTAAGATTAAATATATAATTTTGCACAGTCCAAAGACAAAAATAAAATCAAATGGCAATATACATGGTAGCAACTTTGTTACTTGATGAAAAGGATGAAGAAGCCTTTGAACCACATATAAGAATTACACGAAGCTTTTTTTTCTTATGCATGTTTTATGCGTTATGCAAGAGTCTATGCTCCCCGCTTTACGCTCAATATCTTGCTTTGTAGGACAGTCCTGGACTTTTTTCTGTCAGATTCTTTCATTTTACGCAAAAAACGCGTCGAATGAGCCTAATTTCATCGAAAACGGAGGTGAGCTAGCTATTCTGGGGGTCGATTGTGTACCTTCAAATGAGGTGAAAATTACAAGAGTGAACAAATTCACTAGAGTATTCATAATTTAATTGGTCAATACTTAATAATCTTTGCTCACTTTTGTAATTTTTACCTCCTTTCAAAATCCACAATCGGTCCTTTAAAAAATTATCTAAAATTCTTCAATATGATTGATTTATACATTTAACCAATAGCTGCGTTTAATAGACTCAACAGTTGAATGAGCGTTTGCTGCTATTGATGCATTCTTCCAGATCTAAAATGTTGATTGGATGATTTAAAAGAATACACTAATGGCTGCGTTCAGCAGAACGTTTATTTTGCAACTATTGGAAGTTTTCTTTGCGCTGATTGGGTTACGCATTTAGATCAAGAGGAATGGTTCAATCTCAGCAAAGAATCATAAAACGGTTGCAAAACTGTTGTGTTCTGCTGAACCACAGCCAATAACAGCGAGCGCTCATTCAACTGTTAAGTTCGCTGAAGCCATCGATGTATTCTTCCAGATGTAAAATGCTGATTGGATGATCTAAAATTCTAAGTTTAACTTAAGTCTGTTCTTTTTAAAGTTCTTGCAAAGTTAATCTTTTCTCTTTTTCTCTTTAACAGCGAGAGAAAAAGGAAGATGAACCGTGCAAGAACTTTAGCTAAAAAAAGCAGGCCTCGTATTAATTCCACCATGGTGCTGCCGGTGCTGAATGATCAACAGTTTACCGAAAACACTACAGGTGTGAAAGTTGACGTGCGAGTGAAGAGACAAAAAGTTTCACGAAGCTTTGTTATATTCATACGCGATTTAATATTCCTTTGGAGCACGCATTTTCGTCCCGGTAGCCGCAAGCATGTCCAATAAGTTCGAAACGTAAGTGCTTTTATCGCGGGCAGGTTTTTTGCAAGGTTAGACGCGCGACGAATGCTGTCCATTTCTAATGATACATTAACTTTAATCTCGGTTTAACTTACTTTTTATTTTCTTCTAGTTTTTAAGAATTAAAAAAGATAAAAATTAAACCGAATCTAATTAGAAATGGACCTGTACTACATAATAGGACGTCATACGGTCCGGATAAATGTTCCTATCTGTCACATTCTCGTCTGAGCGAAATTTCAATTTCAACTCTCGACGATGAAAAGGATGGGATAACCAATATTGATTAGGATTTATGGTTTCTCTTATGAGCCAATGACTTGTTTTATCTTAACAAGCGATCTTGTTGTGTGATGCCTATTTTGTAAATAATATTGATTTCTTATTATTTGATAATAGAAATGGAAGATTAGATCAAGAACGGCGATTTTTATAGAAATAGAGTATTTCTGCCAAATAAAGGTCTTTTTAGAAGAATGTTCTGAATAGTGCAATAAGTTAGAATGAAACTAGGCCTGTTCTTTTTTACCTAAACTTTTTGCACAGTTTATTTGTTTTTTCTTTGTTTTCGATGTTGAAAAGAAAAAGATCAACTATTTGCAAGAAAGATGAATTATGCAAGAAGTTTAATTAAAAAGAATAAGTCTTATATTTGTTGCGTCAATTTATAACATTTTTCTAAAAAAACATCTTAAAGTTAATCAATGTTTATTGAAGTCATCCTTATTAATCCTCCAGAGCTGATAGTAGACAGATATTGAAGACACTTAATATATTTTTTGTTACATTTGTAAATTAATTGAATAAATTTAAAAAATTGAAATCCATTAAACAAAAGCCAAACTCAAGCTTATAAAAGATGTTAGTATATTCTAATAAATTTGAAAATGATCTATAATAAATAGTTATCTACAATAAGTAGTAAGTTTTGACTTTATTCGTTTTCTTGTTCTTCATTAGCTACATTAAAATAACATAAAATTATCAATTATAAATTACATCAAGAGTTAATAATACTAGAATTAAAGGTTGCCATTTCTTCTAGCTAACAGGTATCATTGTCTAATGTATTGTTTCTTTCTTACCTAAGATCTTTGCTCTGTCTTTGCTTTTTATCACTCATTTTTCTCATCTTATTCTAATAATCATTTATCATTAAGTTTGTCATCTATGTAAAACACATTATATTAATTAAAAATCAGTATTCTACTTTAACTTATAAAAATTTAAGAGCTTACAATAAATATATATCCAATATCAGTTAAATAATAAAATTCACAAAATAAAAAATTGCAAATCCATCTGACTTTACTGTTTAATCACACGGAATTAAATTTATGTTGATTAAAAAGCATTAATTAATTAAGTATAATTTAATATAGGTTTTCACAGACCCAACCTCAATAACTGCGCTACAGATTTTGACATCAGTTTTGGAGGATTAATATGTAACAAATGCTTGAGGTATTTGATTTCTGTTATGTTTGACTTACAAATTATGACAGCACTTACAGGTTGAAATCCACAGAAGACAGTGGAGATGAAGAGTCTCAATCAAAGGATAATCAAAAGGCAGAAAAGAATCCATTAGTGAGTAGAACAGAGATCTTGTTAATGATGGAAGTACATTAGCATCAATAAAAATCTGAAGATCAATATCTTGTTGACAGCCTTCAATAGAGATAAGTCCAAATGAGCATAAATTACAATATGCTTATGCACTGTGGTACAGCCGGCGTAGTCCTGGCAAGACTAATATACAGAGTTACGACCAAAATTTAAAATTGGTCGGCAGATTTGCAAGCGTAGAGCAGTTTTGGGGTCTTTACAGTCATTTAGTACGACCATCGGATCTTACGACACACACAGACTTCCATCTTTTCAAAGTTGGCATAAAACCCATGTGGGAGGTAAGCATTGTCTTTTTCTTTTTATAGTAAGTGCAAAAAGTATTTATACAGATGAGATATCTTAAAAATCTTTATTTGTAAAAAATAAATATTAATTAGCAATTAATTAACAAACCGTAAAATAGATTACTTGTCTTAAAATTATTTTACCTAAAAACTAATAATTAAAATATATTATCTTAATGATGAAAATGAAAAAGTGTACTATTATGGACACACAAAAAGTATCTATACAGTTGAGAAATTTAGATCATTCTAAAGAAGAAAACGTTCTTCTAAGATTATGAACATTGTTATTTTCGCTAAGTTTTTTTTTTGTTTATATTCATTGTATATATTGGACAATGTTTATATTCATTGTTAATAAATTGCTAATTTATTTTCTACAAATAAAGCTTTTTTTATGAAGATCTTCCCTGCAAGAATACTTTTTGCATTCACTGTGTTTATTGCATACATATTATGTATCAGTTTCCTTCTTTCTAGGACGAAGCGAATCAAAAAGGTGGCAAGTGGATAGTGAGATTACGAAAAGGTTTAGTTTCTAGATGTTGGGAAAATCTTATATTGGCAATATTAGGAGAACAATTTATGGTAGGAGAAGAAATATGCGGCGCCGTTGTATCTATAAGATTTCAGGTGGGCGAGAGATTATGCTTATTTTCAGTTTACATAAAATATAAGAAGTTTTTTTATTGAATAAATTGGTTAATTTGATAGGAGGATATAATATGTGTATGGAATAAAACAGCGTCAGATGTGACGATAACAGCAAGAATTAGAGATACTTTGAGAAGAGTATTACATCTTCCACCTACTTCCACTATGGAGTATAAAACCCACAACGACAGTTTGAAGAATGTACATCGAAATCTCTAAAGCTGTACAATTTTGAAAAAAAGACATATTAAAACTTCCCTGACAGACTTAAGGTAATTTAAACAACATTTGACATCGAAAATCATTCAAAAAAAGATTTTTCTTTTATCTAATCATGTTACGTTTTTCTGAAAATACAGCCGATTCTGATACTTCCCAAAGGATCACGTATCTGATAACAAAACAGTAAAAAAGACGTGAAATGTTGGGAAATATCCATTTGATGATACACTTCAATCATAAGTATCTGTGTTGTAACTTATGTAAATAATGACTATATGTCAAAATAAATAAATAAATATCTTTATTTCCATGATGTTTAATATGAGGAAAAAATTTGTTATGCTTATCCTGTGAGTAGATGAATATGTATTGCGTCTCTGTCCAGTTTTGCGAAAATAGGTTTCTCGAAATGATTGTTGCCTGTGTTAACATTAATTCTAGAAAACTAATAAATGTTAATAACCAGGCAATGAGAGCATTAATACATCACGGGAGTGCATTTAATGTAATATATTGTTGACAATTTCACGTTAGATTAAGTACAAACTGATTGATGTGCGAATTAAGGATTAATATCCATATTCTCTCTCATACAATCTTTGTTCCTCTAGTCTTAAACTGGAGAATCATTAAAACTCATAAAGGTGAGCTTCCTTCAAATTCTAATAAAAATGTATACAAGCTCCAATGTAATGACTGTGATGCAACCTATGTTGAGCAAGCGGGACGTTTATTAAAATCGAGAGAATTAATGAAAATCAAAATAGAACAAAAATCACAAATAGAAAAACTTCCAACCAATCGTTGACTCATCACCCAACATACGTTGGAACACAATCATGAATTTGAAAATATTGTGATATTACATAGAGAAAGATATTTGAGCAAAAGTTAATTTCGGAAATATTAAATATTCAATTATAAATTAATAATTTGAACGTACAATCAGATACGGAGTTTCTGCGCTATTCATACGCATTACAGAGAAATTTAATAGGGACATTACGTATTCACTTTAATTGTGTTTTGCAAAATTGACATTACAATAATTTGACTAATAATTTAATTATTACTTTGAACTGTGTGTGTGAGGTTCCTGGATTAAATTTGACAATTATCACATGTTTGACTTTCATCAAGATATTTCAGTCAATATTTCTATATATTTCATGTTAGATTAAGATTTTACACTGTGACATGTTGCATATGGAATTACTGTGATCTATTGAGGCAGAGGATGAGTCGAAAAATATAAACTTATATAATTTCATCATAATCTAAGTAAATTTGTACATTATTGTACTCTTTAGTAATCACTTGATTAAGTAGTAAAGAAACAAAATGACAGTTTTCAATTGTACAGTAGGGAAAAACTCATTCTCTGTCAACTTTAGAAATTAAAATCCATATAATTTATTTAGAAATTTTCTGTATTGAAAGAAAATTAATTGTACTCAACATTATTGAAAATGATTTGAAAGAAACTGAAATATTCATACATGAATTACACATCAATCAATTTGTATTTAATCTAATGTGAAATTGTCAACAATATATTAATTGCACTCTACCGCAATGTATTAATGTCTCTCACTGTCCAATTATAAATATTTATTAGTTTTCATTTAAATCTCGAAAGAGACTCTATTTCTAGAATCTTAATTCTAGAGTTTCTGCATGGGAAAAAAAGGTGACATGACATTGTAAACGAGATTGTAAGGGATAATAAAAGATGGATAAAATGATAATTGTCCATTGTAGATATTTTCAATATTTAAATTTCAATCCGTCTTTATATACAGGAAGACCCTCTTATTTAGCTGTACATGAGATCATGGCAATTAGAATATATAAAATGATTATATTATGAATGGCGAGATATATCACTATATGTGTATATATATATGATTATATGTACAACATTAAAAGATGAAAAGTTAAGCTAGTGATGTAAACATTAACAGTACTTTTACGTTATCTCATCATGTTACGCCATTTATAAAAGACATATACAATTTTTTTTCGGTATATATACATAATCGCTTGATTTAAATAATGAATTTACATTAGTTTCCCAGTAGGCCTGGAAATTTATAGTTCACGAGCCAGAATATCTCTTATCATATGTTCAAAGACCACTTCACTTTAAAATAGGACTATTTTTATGTAAAATACATGACATAAATAGTTAATGTTTTTTATGTCATATATATTTAAACAATATATATAATGTAAATATTTATCGTTATATATATATATATATATATAAAATTATAGTTACAAAAACAAATCCTACCCTAGTCAATACAATGTTGAAATTTATCATTCATAGACTAGAATCAAGTACATTTTATAAGAAAGGAGGCCTAATGTAATAAAGTCTTATGATAATTGTGCTTTTATCCTAGGAACCTCTATCCTGTGTATAAAGTTGTCAATTGTATAAAACTTTAATAATTATAGTCCTAAAACGATATTCGCAACCATACCTACAAAAAAATTCTTATAGTTATATACATTTACCTATATAATTACATACATTACGTACCTAATACAAATGAGAATATTAATTTGAAATTCACAGAGAGATGCAAATAATCAGGCATTCTGCGATTTTGTTCTCCTTCAGTGGGTAGAAGCAATCCAATTATACATATAATTCCTGCAATAAGGGCTACATAATTCGTACCTCCTAAAATGTAATTTAGAACTATTAACGTATTGTGTTAATTTGTTTAAAAGTAATTGTTTCATTATTATAAATATGATCAATGAAGAATTTATTTTTTATTTATGTCGACTAGCTTGCGCGCATACACACACACACACTATTTAAATTTTGCAAATGTAAATCATTTTGTAATATAGAAATACAAAATTTCTATCATTTTATTTTTTCTGTATCAAATAAAACTCATAATTTATCGAAAAAATTTAAATTTAGTTAAAGAGAACCTCCAAATATTTACTTACTATCTACTGTTTTATTTCGGCTTATGAGTGCATAGGATTCTTGTGGTCGATTCTCATTTATTGGAAGTTGTTGAAACACATCTGGATCTGGTGTTGTTCTCCCAGCTGCATCTACTGTTCCAGGGAGAAGTTTAGCTTCTACATCTCTTTTCCCAATTATCTAGTAAAATTGATAGAATTTAGAGCTGAAACGAGTGTCTCTGTCAATCATTGATTATAAATTACATTACCTGCTTAGTAGGATATTCATGCATGTGTATCCTGAATTTATCAATCACATTGCAGTTATTTGCCAAGATTGCTGTATGTCTGACAACAATATCAACGCAAGAACTAGCTTTTATTATACCTTCTGGATCAACCACTTGATATTTGTATGGTGCAGTACATAATACTAAACCAATAGAATTTATTAAACAAACTTAATGTCAAAGTTAACGATTGTTTTGTCAACAGAAGAAGAAAACAAAGAGTCACCTCTGAATTTTACAGGGAATTCATATGGGTTATACAAAGTTAACACTTGCTTGTGGGTGGACTGGTCGTCCAAGTAGAACGTAATATTTTGTGGAAACACAAAGATTGGCAATTTTCGAGGAGTAGCTGCTGATGTCAATGACATTGTTCTTTCGCAAACTTAATCTATCCATATATCTGCAAGATACAATGCTCGATATTTTATATATGAATATTTGTAGCTTAATTTATATATTTTTCCGCACTTTTCTTGAGTAAAAAATTGTACGTATAATTATCGAAGCTACTTGTTAAATACGTTATTAATTCTTTATAACTTGACCTTGTGTAAAACTCACGCATTGTGAATGGAGTCAAGTTATAAAGAATATTATAAAGAATATCTCATAATCGCAATAAGTACAAAATGAGTTACAGAATCGCGGCTAAATACAACCCGCTAATTTACTCAGAATTAAATTCACGACAAGAGAAATTGCATCAATTTCTTGATCTTCGTGACTCACTCGGAAAGAAACGATATCGGTTAGTTGTCAATCAAAAACTAAAAGTTGCGACAAGCGATGGAATTATACGATTTGCGTATAGAAATGAGTAACCCGATCGCTTCGTTAGATCGGACTTCACGTCACTTCACACCTCGCCGAATAGAAATGTGCAGAAATATAAAATAAATATATATATTAATAAAATATTTACAAACAATTGAGTATGTCATGATCCTATACATCGCTACAAGTGCTGCAACCACAGATGTCTATACTATAACTAGATCGTTAACTGGACTTTAGCCAATGGCAGACAAAATGTAGGAAGATGGCCGTTCCCGCTATTTTATAAATTATGTCACAGTAATTGTTTAGAATACCCCCATCTAAAATCTTAATTAAAATGTACTTATTCGATGCGTTTTCACTTAAAACGAAAGGATCTGGCAGAAAAATGCGGCGGTCGGCCTCGTAAATAAAGTTATTAAGCGTTAAAGTTCGAGACTTTAGAGATTAATGCCCATTTCCATCAATATATATTAACTTTAATTTCGGTTCAACTTACTCTTAATCTTTTTCCAATTTTTAGAACTAGAAAAAGACGAAGAATAAGTTGAACCGAGATTAAAGTTAATCTATATTAATGGAAATGAGCATAAGATAGCTGCCATCCCGACTCGATACAGCGCAATGTATACTGTATACATTCTGCTTTAATTTATTATCAATGTATAGAAAATTTGTGTTTAAAACAATGAATTGTTGTTTTTAAAGCAGTGAATTTGTGTTTGTAAAACAAAGAATTTGTGTAATCAGTGTAATTAAAGCAGAACGTATACATATAAACACTGTATCGAGTCTAGAATCTGTATTCATAGTCCGTTCTTAAGCTCGATGTCCACGATGCTAGAAATCGATCCGAGATCTCGGATAGAGAAAGAATTAACAAATCACATTTGAACAATTTGGTCACATGACCAATGCAATTAGTCAATTCTTTCTTTATCCGAGGTCTCGGACCAATTTCTAATATCGTGGACATTGGGCTTTATTTCAAGACTTTAAGGCTACGTTCCAAAACTTCCTCTCCAAGAAAAATTTTATTCTATATGCTAGTATACGTTATATGTATTATATATTTCGAGTAAAATTTTCCTCGGAAAGGAAGTTTTTGGAATGTAATCTAAGTAATGTCTTAAAACGCTAATATAGCCTTCTAATTGGTTCGTGACTTCTTAAGACTGTACTTAAGACTATCTTAAATATACGATTTGACTATGTAAATACCGGCCTAGAGATGAGTTATCTTCACTTCTAAAGTCTCGAATTTTAATGCTTAATAATTCGATTTATGAGGTCGATTGCTGTTTTTTTTGCCAGATTCTGTTGTTTT